GCTCTTCTTTGCCCCTCTAGTCTGCTTGCCGATCCATTAATCCTGGTGAGCTGGTGAAAAAGTTTACACATGGAAATACCACGATCTATAACTGTTTATCAACCAGAAGGAAGGATGGTAGCGGAACTTATTGACCTAGTGATACTAGAAGAGTTTCATCTCGATCCTCATTTGGGATGCTCTGTGATGTCTTGTAATTTGAATTTCGGATTCTTATGAAAATCTGTCAATTGTTGTTTCTTCTGCATTCCGTCTCTTTGTACATCGCAAATGATTAAAGGCCTCAGGGCCTCACGAGCTAAGACATCTAGAGGACCCAAGAGGAATCTCATCTGATGAATCAGGTTTAAGTAGATTGAATGTTCATCAATGAGTTACAGCTTCCAACCTTGAAACTTTATATACAAGTCTGATGCCATGTGCGGAACCGATTGAAGAATGCCTCAAAAAGAAACATTATACCTTTAGCATTTTATATGCAGAATATGAGAAAACAAGCATCGGTGTCTCGGTCTCCTTTAATTGGCAATTACACTGCACAAGTTAAAAATGAAAGAAGGCACAACTAGCATATATAAGCCTCGAGGAAAAATTGAGAGATGGGGCAAGCTTAGAGTTCCGAATCTCTTCAATAACATAACATCATTCTACATGAGTAAGTACATCTGACAGCGCTAGGCTAAGGTATGCGATGTATGACTAAAGCCAGACTATTTAATAGGAACATTCAAAAGCAAATTATCAGGTTTCGGACTTGCAATTCAAAGGGGATAACCATTCCACTCGAAGAGCTCAGACCAACCATTTGCCGCCTTTTGTCGGAGCAGTCGTTACTAGCACCTTAAAGATCAGTCCATGTGGCACAGGAACAAAGTAGCTTCAAAGTTCTAGCTTTGTACATCTTAGGGGATTACACTGTTCGATGATCACCTAAAACCAGAGGGAGCAGCTTGTGGACCAACGCCAGCTCCTCTTCTCATAGCTTTCGATTGAGCAAGCATTTCGTCATAATTCTGGTTGCAATAGAAACGAATATTAGAAATTTAAATTTTGCATGAAAATAGAAGCAAGGAAGGAAAAATTAAGTGATGCAATTATACCCTCTTCTCAAAGGCAGCGTCCCTCGAGTCAATGATCTTGTCAGCGATTCCATACTCTATGGCTTCTTGCGCTCGGAAGTATTTAGGTCGCTGGATATCCTTCTCAATCTCTTCCTTGGGTTTACCGATTCCTTTTGCTAGTAGCTCAATATAGTACTCAGTGTTTGCATCAAGTTCTTTAGCCTGAGAAACGTAGTTCACTACTCAGAGAGAGAGAGAGAGAGAGAGAGAGAGAGAGAGAGAGAGAGGGGGGGGGGGAGGGGAGGAGGCTGTTTACCTTAATCCACATATCTATGACAGCTCCGCTGGATTTGTTCACTTTTGGCAAATATAGTTTTGCTGTATTACAAAGTAGAAAAATTGCATGTCAGAGAAAAATGGCCATCAAATACTCCATAGAAAGTTAAAATAGAATTTCAGAAGCGATAGAGGCAAGTTCTTCATGTGAACAGCATATACAATAGTCTGATGACAAGAAGAGGCACAAACTATTATCATCATTCATTGCTTAGCAGAAGAAATGCCATTGAAAACAGAAGCTAAATGCTTCTTCTTATAAAGGTCCAGGAGATGCTTAGAAACGTTTGCACGAAGAAGAACCATGAGCATGTATCAGGTATTCGAAGCTCTACCCCGGCAACTACGAGCAGTCGATTTGAATGCATTCGTAATGAGAAAATAACTTTCACAATGGTCATGGCTGAACATCATGCCACACATCACCAGAAAATATACATGGCAAAGTAGCTATTAACATATACATGGAAGGACGAGGGAAAAGGCGAGTATGTTCAGTCCCTAGAAGTTCCAGTTGATGCACAAAACATATGAATAAGTGATTAAATACAGTCCTCTAAACTTTAAGGAGAGAAGGACTATACTCGAGGAATTTGGTTGGAGAGCACGAAAACCCTTGGTTCCAAGTGATAACAACATTGCCGCTTGACCATAAGCCATTCCACAGTTCACTGTATAAACATCTGATTTGCAGTACTTGAAATGGCGAGAAACAGCAAATCAGATTCAAGAGCATGGTAGACAATATAATCAAAAGACAGGAAACAACAATAAACCTTGTTAAAAAGAAAACATTGGTTTAATTATAACCTATTGAATGGCCATAAAATTAGACATGATACTCACAGCCATTGTGTCAGCTATAGCATATGCTTCGGTTTCAGATCCAACAGTCTCCATCTTCTCATTCTGAATCGGGAAAGCCAACATAAGTTACAATGGTACTAAAATATGAAATGGCATATCGATAACTTAATGGAGTCTGAGAAGATTTCTTTCATGACATAACCAAAGCCAGAGAGAGGCACGGCACATTTCACTTACCTGTGTGCCTGGTGAATTAATATATAGGTATATAGGCTTTGAGGGGTTATCATAATCCAGCCACATAAACTGAGCAACTAAGAGCTCGGTCACAGCTGGGACAATCTGCAGCAATCATTCAGAGTCTATCAACACAATAGAAGTGTGACAAAGGAGAAAATGTAGCAACACTAGACACCGTTTAGATGGTTTGCAAGGAAAAGAAAAGGTTTCAGTGAGATATAAAGAGGGGCTTACAGGCATTCCCAAGTAGCATATACGAGCATCTAAGAGCAACGATGGCAAATCAGGAGGAGCGGTTCTAGGTCTTCCGTATCCTCTTGCGCCTCCTCGGTACATGCTTACACTCATACTGTATTTAGAGGGACTCTTGTCATGCGCTCCGGAGAGGCTCCACATGCCTCCATTGTCCAAATAATTTCTAGCTGAAGAGATACTTTCCTGTCAGGAGGGGCCACGAAGGAAAAGGCAGTTAGTCTCTTGTGCAGTGCAGACCTTAGCGCCACACATAGCCAATCAACTCCGTGAAGGAAATGTTTAGGAGCAGTCTGAAGTAGCTGGAATGATTACAACTTACAATCTCATCCTCAAGTGTCTAGAAACTAAATAAATGCTAAGTAAATCAATAACCTCTGTAACTTTCTCCGATTGGCGACGAGCAGGATTATCTTCTGTCATGAACATATCCATCTGGGATGGCGTGAGGCCATAAAGATACTGCGGCACGTTCTTGAAATTTTCGGCCACTGCAAAAGAGGGTAACGACACGACAATTACACAACTTAATCGTGCCTCCTTCCAATCAAAACCCAAACGCAAACGGCCAGGTAGATTCATAACATGATCAAAAGGGGCCAGATTTATCCAACTACTCTCACAGAAGTTTATAGCAGGAACATTAACATATTCACTTCCAGAGGATTTAAAGTCGCCTCCAATCTCCAACCTCATTCTCTGATATGCGAATCGGGGAAAACTTCTCAAGCGGAATAATTTAAGTCAATTTGGGACCTAATATCAAGCTCCAGCAACCGCACTTAATAATACAAGAATCCACAAAACATCTCCAATTCAGCTCCAGAAGCAGTTCCAATCGCCTAAGAAACCGCATCCGCAAGCAACAATCACACGACACAGAACAAGCCGTCACACGATTCACAGACCAATCGATTATTCTCATCTATCGGCGAGCTACTCACGTCCTTCTTTCAAGTTCTCCTGTCTGAATTGCTTCGGGATATGGCCGAGCGAAGCCCTGACGCGGCACTTCCCGCCTCCTCGCCTCCCGCTTCTCAGCTGGGAGAGCGAAGGAGGAGCCCGGAGGAGCTTGGCACCGTGCAAAAACGGCGACTTTGGGAGGCTCAGCTCCCGATTCAGAGGCGTGGAGGCGGACGCGGCCGAAGCCATGGACGCGAGCGCGGTGGTCGCCATTGAAGCACAAGAAGAAGAAGAAGATGATTTTTCTCTCTCTCTCTCTCTCTCCTCTTCGCAACAACAAGAGCTGCTGAGGACGAGAAGCGAACAGGGGAACGAAGCAAGTTCGAAGAAAGTGAAAGGGAAGGCTGTGGCGACTGGCGAGGCCGCGATTTGGGCCTGGGCTTCGGACCTTCTTGGACCCGTCCAAGGCCCGTGGGCCTGAGGGATTTAGGCCGGGTCGGGTACATGAGCGGTAGATATGCCATGCCCGACACGTTTCTGTTCTTCCGCAAAGACAATAATAGCTAAAACAAATTTCTGACTATTTTCCATATTATTCGAGTGATTTTCCAATTAACAAATTTTTTTCTCTGAAGCCGTTCACATGACATTATGTCATTCAAGTAGACTGATTAGATATCTAAGACACAAATTGAGTCACGATTGTGTTAGAATTTGATTTGGCGAAAGACTGAAGATTTCGATTACTGATTGATAAACAAAAAGCATGCACACTTAGAATCGAATGCCAAAACGTGAAGAATTCTATACTAACTTCCGGCCATTAATGAAGTCGAAAACCGAATACGCAGAGCTTTAAACGTCTTCTAGCCAATTGCTCTCTCAACGCTGATTATGTGTTTTCAGATTATCAAATAATCAGATCATTAGAGGGTTTGGCTTAGATGACCTATTTATACGTACCATTTCAAATAACTTCTTCCATTAAGATAGTTATCTTAATATTGGGCAATCACTATAGTTATCACGCACCTTAATGAACACAATAAATCGTCAACAAAATTAATTAATGTGAGTAATAATAAACTGAATGTGGAATCACATTATTGATATTATAACACATTCAAGATGGTTCGACAAAAAGAAAGTTTCACATTGGAACCAATGAGGAAATTAAATTTGAGACATCGATGCAACCATATCTAATATGGCAGCGTCGGAGTTCATACGCATTCACCAAAGCCGATATTGAAAATTAACGCATGTTGCACCCCATACATCCGACATACAAAAGGTAAGCATAAAGGTTCGATCTGATGTCACATTCGGAAATATATTATAGCAATAGCCAAGATTGAAAAGCATGCATTAACATACACTAGCAATGTAACCAGAGGCAAATCAAATTTACATTTGCTGGTCAATCTTCTTAAGACCACACAAAACCTGTTCAATGTCCAAAGTTCAACCACACCCCTCTACCTAATACTTTAACTTCTCTTTCCAATTGATGAGCTACCAAAGCAAGGAAAGCTGCAATCAGTATGATCAATAATCTTAATTACACTTCTCTGGGATCCACAAATATAGAGGAGCCAGGTTGGCTACATGTCCAGTACCCAACCGGACCCTCGCTACAACCCTCCACCAGCCTCTTCATGCACCACACGTCTTCCTCGCACGACAGTCTCTTCCAATGCGAGATTGCCGGCCTCAGCGGCTCGTTGCTAGCCACTTCGGTCGCAACCACAGCACAGCCCATTTCCTTGGCCAGGTTGTGCGCGTGCGCGCAGAGCGCCTCCATCATCCTCCCCGCTCGCGGGCCTTCCCCTCCAAGGCCGTACAAGAAGTGGAACCCGAACGGCTTGAATAGCTGAGGCACGGATGGTATGCCCAGAAATGGCAGTAAGCGGTCCACCGTGCGTGTCGCCTTGGCCATCCACCGGAGGGTGCGTGGCGCTCCTTTTAATTGCAACGTGAAAGTCTCCTTGCTATTCCAAATGCTAAGGACCGCCCATGACTCAGGTGGATTGGCGAGGAACCGCCCAAAACCAGGCCATGACCCAGTTGGCATGGCAACAAATGTACCGAGGTTGAGCCGGTTACTCAGGATGCGATCAATGTCACGAGGAAAGAACTCAGTGGTGGAGAAGCGGGCCCGATAGAGCGACTCGGCCTCCGCGTGGTCGAGTTCAAATATGGAGACTCGATCAGGAATTTTGACCCTGTGAGCGTAAATGGGTCGGGCTAACATGGAAGGGGTTCGGAATTTGGAGTAGTTGCCTTTCAACAAGAAGAGATTGAGTGAGGCTTGGTTGTCATTTTCCGTGGACATGTAAGAGTACTCAGCACCATTGCGGATGAACCATGCCTCCATATTCTTCACCAGAGCCAAACCAATGCCAATTCTTCTGCACATGCAAAACCCAAGATTTATTATGGTTTATGATATATTATTGCATATCATAAGTTAATTACGTGCAGATTATGAGGCATGGACTTTAGTATCCTAGCTTGTTATCTAGAAACCCTAGGAAGGACAAATGAGATCTTTCTTCTTTTGGGTTGATGCTTTTCAGGATATGTTCTCGCTGAAATTCACGTTGTCTACTGTCAATTAACAAATGAAGAAACCCCAAGTAATTTTTAACTTGATAGTTCTCACGGAAGTCAATTACAGTGCATATCCTCCTAGCGTTTTATTGACCCTAGGGTTTTGTCTCAGGGGAAAATGTCATTGAATCTGTTAAAAAATTTGCATGCAGCAATACTTTCTCAAGGCTTATTTTCAGATCGACGGTTTACCTAACTCTAATTTGCGTTGAATTCATACGTACCACTGCATTTAGGGCAGACTTCGAAATCTGAACTCCCTGCGGATTCTTTATACAATATGAATTCCGGAAATTAAAGGAAGTAATGAAGAAAATAAGTACCGGTGTGAAGGACAGACTCTTAGGCCAAGAATGGTGGCGACTTTGGCATAGATAGGATTCTCGCCATCATCGTGTGAGCTTCCTCTTCCACAACTGACAGTTTTGATGCAGCCCCTGACCATGCCCACAATCTTCCTCTCTCCCTCCACTTCCATCTCGGCCACCTATTTGATCATGCCAAAACAAAAAAAAATTGACCATCACGACTGGACCTCCATCAAGAACCCTGGACGAGAAATGTCATATTTACACTAACGCATACCAGCATGAGATAAGGAGGCGAGTGACGGATTCGGCAAAGAGGATCGCCCAAAAGATTGGTGAAGACGGACATCTTGCCAGCATGGCCAACCTCGCACCTTCTCTCCACTTCTTCGACCTCGTTGCAGTCCTTGTTTGGATCGAATTCTCTCACCACAAATGCCGTCGTCCCGGTCGTCGATCTCTTTTCCTCCATCGACAAAAGTGAGTTTTCGTGGTGACCTTTGTTGGCTCTGTGTGTTTTGGTTTAACAGAAGCTTCTCAGCAAGTGTACTGCTCGGAGGTTTTGTGCAGTAAACAATGAAGTGATGGCAGCGTCGAGCTTTTTATTACTCTCCTCGGTGAGGACGCTACGGCGTCTGGAACGGTTGTTCTTGGCGGCAAAGGTCGTTGAACGAAGCAAGGACCGACTTCGTTCAAACAAACGCTCGCTGGGCTTGGCTAGTACTCGGCCAAGGAGGACCTTCAATAGTAAAAGCTGAAACAAGAGCAATAACTAAATCGTCTCGAACCCGTTGGTAAAAGCTGGGCAGCCGCCACCAGATCGACGTTAACACTGGGAGATTGCTGCAAGAACGGTACAGTTGAGTTGGTGCCAGAGCAGCTAAAGGGGCTGAGCAGCCGCGGCAAAGCTTAATGGAGGTGTGACAAGGCTACCAGGTGCAACCGCGGTGTAGGTGGCCGTCGGGAAAAGCTGGGCACAGTCGGAGAAACTGCTGTGAACTCGCTTGAATGAACACCAGGACGTTGGACGTGTAATTATATGGACTGAGACAAAAGGAAACTGCAGTGGTGTTGCACTATAACGGACAGTTAGGTGTCATCGCAAGAAGACATCAGCGAATCCAGGAAGAGATCCACGAAGAGATCAGCGAATTCTTGAAATTTGAGGGCTATTAAATGCTTTGGTCCTAGGGTTTGTGCCTTTATGCGCCTTCCCTAACACTGCCATGTGATGCAATTAATCCCTTGAGGTTAAGTCCAAGCCCTTTTATTTTCTTTATTCTGAGAATGCTTGAAAGGAAAGGGGTCACATTGTTGGGAATGTGGTCTTGTTATAGACCCCATGGACAGAAATTTGTGGGAAAGATCCGGTTCGTCGACTCATAAACATCACGGGCGGATCAAATTACCAATAACAATTGCATAGTATTAACAGAGACAAATATGCATGTTATGGTTATGGGTATGTATACCGGTCTTGGTTTTCCTAAATCGTGCCATACAATTATGTGCGGGATTGCAGGACTTGATAAATCATTGAGGCGATGCTCTTCCCTTCAGCACACATGATGCCTGTGCACGCCATGAAATCCATGCAGCATAAGAAATAAGAAGATCATCTCATCAATGAAAGAAACCATAGGGATATCGACTCAAAACCCAATACAGTGACTGTCTTTTGCGTGCTGGTAACATTTCTCAATCAGGAATTCATTGCTAGTTAGTTCACCTATTCACAAGGGCATGCTAGGAAGAACTGCATTACAAGTATCTTTACGATGTCGGTGACTGTGCACTTGCATAAGGAAGAGTTAGATGGAGCGTTGCAATGTCAAGATGATGAATTTAAAATGAAACGTATGCTAAAGTATGATAAATACGTGACCCAAGTGATCGATTGATGGAATAAAAGGAGCTGTTGAGAAAGAACAGCTGAAGAAAGAAAAGAGAAAGAGTTGTGAACCCCACGCCATCAAGTTATCAACTTGTAATTAACAAAGGGGAGAGAGAATAAGTGGAAATGGCTGCGCCAATAATTTTTGCCATTTCCTAATAATTGCTGGAGAAAGAGGGACAGCAATCGAGGGACTTGCCAATAAAATTAATCAGTAATGATCCAAAGAGTAAGATAGAAATCATCAGCACCAAAGTTATGATATAGAAAGAGTTCTTTTTTGCGTTTAATTGGTGGAGTGGGGTTATTACTCCAAAAGCAAGATCACGACCACAGGTTGTCATGAAAGCTGGTTACAAGCACAAGGATCTTATTCCGAGTTCTGTAGCAAGACAAGACTTGTTAAAAAGAAAAATAATAAGTGCACTGAAAATCATAAAACTTATCGTGCAATCGAGTCTTGCAATTTTTAAAAAGTACAATCGAGTCCTAGAACTTATTGTAAAAGTATAATCGAGTCCTAAAACTTACAAGAAATGCAATCAATGGGAGGACTTCATTTGACCAATTTGGTAGGTTTTAGGATTTAATTGTACTTACTCAATTGCACTTTCACGACAAGTTATAGGACTTAATTGCATTTTTTTTAAAATTTTAGTACTCAAGTGTATTTTCGTAATAATTTTTAGGACTTTTAATATACTTATCCCAAAAGAAAATGGCTTCTGTGTTAATTGAGACAAGTAGAGAAAGGTAGTTTTGGTCCTGATTATTTGTTTGTGTGTGTGTGTGTGTTTTACTTGTGGAGTTGTCATGCCGCCCACCGTCGGTGAAACCCGAATTCCACCAATGGTGGAATAAAATTGTGAATACTTGATTATGGTCAATGTTCAAATATGTGTTTGATATTTTTCCGTCAAATGTGACAATTCTGACAAGACGCCTTATTCTTTACTTATAAAACCAGGGCTTCCTTAGTATTCTTATTAAGAGCATGCTTAAAGAAGAAGCTCTATTAGTATATTACCAAAAGATACAATTTACTATTTGCTCTAGAAAAATAATGGAAAAATCGTCTAAAAAGTCATAAACCTATTACGCTTTTGCCAATTCAGTCATAAACCTTTCAATTGTGCCAATTAAGTCCTAAATATTTTTACGTTTTGCCAATTGAGTCCACCGATCAATTTTAATTGGAAATCGCTAACGTAGACGCTAGTAATATCGTGTAGGATGGTCGGTGTTGATGTAGATAATTGTTTATAATTTTTTCTTTTCTTTTTTTTCCGTTCTTTTCCCCTTCTTCTACCAAGTTTGGCTGATCGCTAGCCGACCCTGCCGGTCACAGGAATTGGCCATCTCTCACTGACCACAGGGGGGGCCGGCGACCCTTAGTGGCCACAAGGTGAGGGCTGTGAAGCCCTCGCCGGTTGCGGGCGAGGGTCACGGCCCTCAAGAGGTCTGGCCCCTCGCCTGCAGCTGGTGAGAGTTGGCTGGCGACCCTTACCGGGCTTGGAAGAAAAAAAGAAATGAAAGAAAGAAAATAATAATAATAAATTCATAATTTTTAAAAAAAATTATAAAAATTGTCTACATCAGTGCTGTCCATGCTATGTAAGATGGCATGCTATGTAGGATGACTGGCATCTATGTTAGCAATTTCCGGTTAAAATTGGCAAAATATGAAAAGGTTTAGGACTCAATTGACAAAATTGAAAAGTTTAGGACTGAACTGGTAAAAGTGTAATAGGTTCAAGACTTTTTGGACAATTTTCAAAAAAAAAAATCAAGTACTATTGTGATGTTTGTCTTAATACACATTTTCTGTCAATAGAGGATTCATGTGGAATGGTAATTTTTCTAGCCCACCATAATTATTGTGGTGAACAATAATAAGATCCTTGCACATTCTTTAGAGGAGAATTTCTCTTTCGAATAAAGAGGTTTATGTGAACAATTACAAGATTTATGGACATTTTTAGATAACTTTCTTTTGCAAATTAGAGATTTTTTAGTCTGAGAGAACCCTGGTTGAAAAATCATTCAAACTTTAATTAGTTCTAAAGCTTTTCTAATCATTCTGTTTTGTCAATTTTTTATTCTTAATGTAATTTGTAATAATTTCGATATTTCATAATTGTTTGGCCAAGCTTAGGATGCTCCTAGTCCTTTATTTCAATTATTTGTGAAAAATGAAACAAAAGGAGTAAAACTATTCAGCTTCATTTAAAGAAATAGGAAAGTATTTATTGTGGAAGTAAAGACAAAGAGGAAAAAAGACTTTACTTTTTCAAAGTAAGCAAATCTAATTATTTTTTATATCTTAATCAATTAGTAAAATGTTCCAAATTTTTTCCACCTTTGGTGGAATTCAAACTCTACCAGTGGATGGTATATTAACCCGGGCATTGCTAATATAAAATTCTTTAAGCCACTATGAGAATAACGGTATGTTATGAGCCACAAATTCTTGAAGGAGTAGATCCCGCAATAATTTATAATTATTTGTTATTTATTTTTGGTGGTTCAGAATAGACTGTCAATCTCTCAGTAGATTAAAGATTGTTACTTAATTATTTCTTTATTAATTTTTCCTTTTGATCCTGATTAATATATGTTGTTTCCTCTGAGAAAAAAGAAAGATTTGCAATTACCTGAACTTTCTTCTGTTGGCTCTTAAGCTAGCTAAAGAGACTCGTTCTGTTTATAAATGAGCAGATAAAATATGGAAGCACATGATTCAAAAGAACAGTCAACACCCTTTCGTTTGTTTCTTTGTTTTTCTTCTATTACAATTCCTTCTGGTATACATGAAAGATGCCTTCTGCCTGCCCCTCCAAAGGAGTTCTATGCTTTAATGCCATCATGTGCATATAAGACTAAAGACAGCAGATGATCATTATCACAGGTAGAGAAGCTTTACATATATAGAGAGAGATAATAGGACGTTTGGTTCAAAGATGGTGTTCTTCAGTTTGAGGTGCCATGTCTCGATTCATTAAGTTATCAAGTGCAGGACCCCTGTACCCCTTAATGATGAACACAAGTATTATATCACCACATCGTTATACCATGTGGCCAATGTGTACCTTTTTGCCATTATAAAGCTATTGAATTAAGGTAAGCAAATGGCTTATCTTTATGCGATTTATTCGAAAGAACCCTTTCATATGTACTCGAATCCTTCACTATTATAAGAGGAGATGCCATATAATTGCATGGTCATGGGGAAGCATGATGCCCTAAAACCCGACAGTTCCTATGATGGCGTACGAAAATTTCCCGAAAGCGAATTCAAAAGGCAAACAGATAGGTTGATTAGTAAAATTCCATGGGCTAACTGAATAGAAAAATTATGGGTGTGACTAGAATTTAAATTTTGAAGTCATTAAGCTACAGTTGTCATATGATTCTGAACTTTAATTCTCGTATAACCCCACTTTATCATACATCCTGTGTCGGTTTCTTAA